GCAAGGCCTCCAGGGCAAGGGGTGGGACTTCCTGCCCACTTCCCTCCTCTGTCCTGGCATTTTGTCTATTGTGGGTTTATGAAGGCCTTCTGCATGCTGTCACTGTCTGAGTTCATATGCACAGCAGCCCTCCAGTGTTGGGAAAATAATGCTTCCTTGAAGTCATCCAGCACATCTAGTCCTTACTTTCTTTCTACCCCTCTTCCCCATAGATCTCTGAGCCTTGAGGGAGGCATATAGCATAGACAACCCATTTGGGGCTGAACATTTCTATTCTCTGCATGTTGACCAGTTGTGAGTTTCTATGTTAATTGGGATCTACTACAAGAATGTGCTGATCTAAGGTTATAGCAATATGTCACTAGAAGTCATTTTATACCATGTTCTTTAAGCATAGTGGTTCTCAACCCTTTACTACACTTCCTCATGTTGTAGTGACCCCCAACCATAAAATTATTTTCATTGCTAGTTCATAACTGTAAGTTTGCTAGTGTTATGAATTATAATGTAAATATCTGTGTTTTCCGATGGTCTTAGGTGATCCCAGTGAAGAGGTCATTTGACCTCCATAGGGGTTGAGACCCAAAGGTTGAGAACCATTGTAAATTTAGCAGACTAATAGTAGTAGTTTTTTCCCCCTAGGGTTCATGACCTATCTAGTCTCAGATTCTTGACCTCATCAACAGTGTTAGGTATGGGTTCCATCTCATGGAGTAGGCTTCAAATCCAATCAAAACTTGACTGGCTACTGGGACAACACATTATTATGAAAATATCTTTTACATTCTAAAAGCCAAATTAATAGACCTTGAGGTCACTTAAGACTGCTAGCCTACTCTGTACTCAGCAGGTCCTTTAACCTGCTGTTTTAGGGTTTCTACTGAAGATTAACCCTGACATAGCAACTCTTACAAAGGAAAGTGTTTAATTGGGGTTGGCTTACATTTCAGGGGTGTAGTCCATTATCAGTAAGGTGGCACGCAGGCAGACATAGTGCTTGAGGGAAGCTCAGAGTTCTACATCTAGCAGAAAGTGACTGTGACACACTGGCCAGGCTTGAGCTTCTGAGAGCTCAAAGCCCACCCCCAGTGACACACCTCCTCTAACAAAGCCACATCTCTTCCAACAAGGCCACTACCTACAAGCCTATGGTGGCCATTTTATTCAAACCACCACACCTACCCTTAAGAGAACAATGTAACAACCAACCTCACTTACCCTGAACTTCTCATGGAGTCAGCTTTCACAACCTAAAAAATAGCTTTAATCTTTTGTTTGTTTTGTTTTTCAAGACAGGGTCTCTTTATGTAGCTCTCTGGGTATCCTGGATCTCACTATCTAGATATGGCTGGCCTCAAACTTACGGAAAGACCCACTTGCTTCTGCCTCTTAAGTGTGGGGATTTGCTGGGCAGTGGTGGTGCATGTCTTTAATCCCAGCACTTGGGAGGCAGAGACAGGCAGATTTCTGAGTTCGAGACCAGCCTGGTCTACAGAGTGAGTTCCAGGACAGCCAGGGCTACACAGAGAAACCCTGTCTTCAAAACAAAACAAAACAAAACAAAACAAAAAAAGTGGGGATTAAAGGCATGTGCCACCACACCCAGCTTTAATCTTAAATTATGTCCTTCATGTCCTTCCCCCACCATGTCCTTCACCCAGTGTAATGCATGTGTGTATGACTGTGTTGTAGTGACAGGAATGTTGTAAAGCCAGCAAGCTGAAAGCAACCTAACACAGTAAATATCCACCATAAATGCTGGAAACAGCATACAGATGTCATTTTACAGTGCTGTTTGTAATAGCTTGCTATCTGGGTCAGTTGGAGTCAGTAAAGTTTCATTCGTTGTAAAACCCTGTTAAGGACTTCCTGTAAGTGGGCTAGAGAGACGGCTCAGTGATTAAGAGTACTGCTCTTCCAGAAGACCCAGGTTGAATTCCTAGCGCCTACATGGTGACTAATAACTGTCTGTAACTTCCAGTTTCTAGGGGATCCAGTACCCTTGTCTGGACTCCTCAGGCATTGCTCACACATGGCTCATAGGCATACATGCAGGCAAAACACCCATGCACATAAAATAAAAATAAATAAAACTAAAAAATGTTTCTATAAAGCATCTCTTATTCTTTTCCAATGTAATTCTTATATATAGGGCAAAAGCCCTTTGTTAGGGACACGGACTCAGAGTCACAAGACAGGATTCATGTGGGCACGGAGTCAGATTTATACAGCAGCAGACAGGAGAGAGGAAAGACATGGGGAGAGAAGTAGAGAACTCAAATCTGGGATTGCTCCTGGCCAAACTTCTCCAAAGGCAAATGCTCTGACTTCTTACCTTAACACAGCACTGAAGGGCTGGCATAGGCCCGAGCATGGCACATATTGCTGACAGCTTCTGCCCTTTTACCTCTTTTCCTCTCACTTGCTAAATATATATATGTATATTATATTTCTTAAAGCTCGCCCCCAAGGTCTATGCCCTTATTTGTCCACTGCCTCATTCGACAAAACATCAAGGTCCAATAATCAGAATTCATTCTTTGGAGAACCTGTCCAATCAGGATTCACCAACTCACCCTAGCACAGACTCTCCCTTCTCCCCTTAAAAAGCCCACTCCTGCAGAAATCCCCTCTCCTGTTCTTGCTTCTTGTGGTCTCTTGCTTTTCTTCTTGCACTTGCTGCCTTTCAGCTACCGCCCCTCACATCCCCTCACTTGGCTCTCGGGGGTAATACATCTTTGTACTGAGAATTTGGTGTCTGGGTAAATCCTGTACTGATTCAGGATAGAGAAGGGCTGACTTCCCTTTCAAACACTGATGAACTTTGGATACTGTAATATTCATGTCATTATAGTACCAGTGTGCATGTCTGGCCTTGGAGGTGTTTATCGTAGCTTGCAGGGTTCGTAACACTATGAATACTAGCCAGTAGGGATGATGCTTCCAACAGCTAGATTCTTTATGTTCTATGACACGTGTGTGTGGTATCTTACTATTAAGTTCTGGAGGGTAACCAATGGTATCAGCAATAGCCTTTAATGTTGGTGGAGGGTGTCTATAGGATCATATTGGCCAACAACTCAAAAGGAAGTAACAAATTCCTGGGAATTAGTGTTTTATTTTGTAGTGTATAATGTCTAGTTGGGGTATTGAACCACCATTATAGGGTAACTTCATGTAAGTTTTTCTCTATGTATACATTTTAGGAAGCGTCTATACTCCAGTAAGTTTCCACATGACTTTTCAAAAGGCCTTTAGTGTTCCCTTCCCTGTGTTTCCTCTTCCACCCTGCCCTCCCATCCTTTCCTGCTATCTTCTTTTTCTACCTCTGTATTATTGAAAATTATCACTCAAAAGTTCCGGAAAAGAACTCTTTTGGGGGCAAATATTTGAGAGTGTAGATTTAAGTACTTTTTGTTTCTTTTCATTTATCCTAAAACAGTTGAAATATCTTCATAATGTTTTATTTTTTGATTTTTCAAGACAGGGTTTCTCGGTGTGGCTTTGGCTGTCTTGGTACTCGCTCTGTAGATCAGGTTGACCTTGAACACACAGAGATCCACCTGCCTCTGCCTCCTGAGTGCTAGAGTTAAAGGTGTGAGCCACCATCCATTTTACTACTCAGGATTTTTCCTACACAAAAGTGTCACCTGGGATGGCACACACACACACACACACACACACACATCTGGGTGGCTTTTCCTTCAACAACTGCCCAGTTCCATTTATTATTTAAGAGCGCTCACACCTCACATGCTCACTCTGTCACTATGACACAAAGAAATAAAGTTGGGGTACCCAATGCCAGCCCAAGGCAAGGTCTGTGGCCCAGTTGCCTTGGGCTCTGGCTTCTCTGATTCTCACACAGGACGGGTACAGGTACCAAATGTGTATAGCCTTGGTTTGTGACTGGAGGTAGAGAAGTAGCTCAGAGCCCAGGCATGGAATGGGAAGTGAAATGAAGAAGAAAGCTGAGGGGTACCTGAATGGGGCCAGACAACAGACTTTTGCTAAACAGATACCAGAGACAAGGTCTGTCTTTGCTGGGAGTAGAAACTACAAAACTAGAGTAGCCCAACTTCCTCCCTGTTGTCATGGAGCATAGCATGGAGATGTCAGCCACGAAAGCAGGGGTCAGAGAGCAAAAAGCTCAAAGCAACCACAAATTAGCAAAGAGTAAAGGAGGAGAGGGAATAGGTGGTAAGGGAACTCTCTCTCTCTCTCTCTCTCTCTCTCTCTCTCTCTCTCTCTCTCTTTTTCTCTCTACCTCCCATCTTCACTGGCTTTCTCTTCTGTGTGTCCTTAAATCTGTTCTCTCCAGTGAAGATGCTTGTGATTGTTCTTAAAGGCTCCCTGGATGGTACCCAGTCTTGAGTGGGTCCAGCTCAAGGTGCTTAATGCAATCACATCTGCAAAAACAAGACACCCCCCCCGCCACGTATGATAGTATGCACAACTGTCAGAAGTTAGGGGAAAGCATCTCTGGAGGCTGTTCTTCAACCTGGCACAGCTTTGTTGGCTTCCTTCTTTGGGAACGTGGAGATTCTGGTGCTCGCTGAGCATCTGTGAAGAACTGAAGGTCAACGCACAATAGCTAGAGTCTAGACCAAGGCTCAGAACCCAGATACGGTGATGTTAAAAAAGCACCCACAGCTCTACAGATGGTAGCTTGCCTTATCAGAGATTACCATGGTGTGTAGCACTGGACCAGAAAACACAGGCGTGTGTGCATTTGCCTGGGGTCCTGGAGGTGCCTCTGGCATGTGCTGAGCACAAAGCTCCCATTTGTGTATCCACAGCTCATGGAGTACTCAAGACAAATGAGGTGGCCAGATGTCACTCCTAACCTGCATCATGAGGGCCAGGAGAGGCAATGAGATCCTGGAGACTCTGGAGCCTTGGGCAGGGGTGTGGGTGTGGGTGGGGTGGGGTGGGGTGTGTAAGAGGGTGAGGGTGTGTGCTAAACGGGAGCACCTCCTTCACCTTCACCCAGTCTTGCCATAGCTTCCCTATGTTTATTCATCTTCCTGTTCCTTCCTGGTGTTGAGCCTTGAGTGTGTTGATTCAGGAAGTGGCTAGGGGGGCTGTGGGCTCCGCTGGAGGATAAGCGCTTCCTGTCGTTTCCAGGCCCCTGGACAATCAAGGTTGTTTGGAATTCATCTTAGGTGAGTCTTAAAATGATTTCCCGAAAAGCGACCCAGGTGGGAAACAGGGCCAGACCTGGTGAGATGGGTGATACCTGGTGAGATGGGTGGGGGTCAATTGTGTTCTGGGGGTGGGGCGGGGGTTGCTATGCCCACGTCCTTCTGCGTAGGAGAATGCCCGGCAGAGTTCTATGTGTTTCCTATTGTTGTCACCTCTCCTGGCACCTCACTGCATAGGTCCCTACTGACAGGTAGGGCAGCTTGTTGTTCTTCTGGTTCAACTTGCTCAGCCCACCAGGGTCCATCTGAGGTTAGAGATGTACTCGGGAATTCCTATGTTCTTTTCCTGTAAATGAGCACCCAGAGGAGCACTGACCTCACAAATGGAGGAGGCGGCTCAGCAACTGTGGCGTGCTGACGCCAGCCCTGTAGTTGCCTAGGGCAGTCAGTGAGTAGTTCAGCGAACTCAGTCCTTGGTAAGGGTTGCCAGCTCCTCATAGGCTTGTTCAAAGACTTTCAAAGACCTCGGGATTCCAGGGACGTCCTAGGCCTAGAGCTGGTCGCTGTAACAGCTTTTTTCAACACCCAGTATTTCATCTTCAGCTGCTAGTGGCTCCGTAAGGCATCTACCCTGTGCCCTGCGCGCGGCGCTAGCTAGAGACGGTTCACGTGGTCATTTGGCCTGAAAGCGCCTCCCCGTAGGTTTTTCCTAATCTGGGACACACAGCAGAACTGAGATGAGTGCCCGCCACCTCTTCTGTCCTACCCAGTCGAGAACGCGCGGATGCGCGGGCGCGTTAGGACCCAGCGGGGTAGCCGCGGGACCCTGGAGTGGGCGTGACCTCCATTGTGACGCCATGGGGCGGGGCTTCCTCTGGCTGGGACTGAGGGACAGAAAGACCGACTGGCGCGGCGTGGCTGGTAAGGGACGCGGATTCACCTCACTTTGGTTGCTCTTCGCTGTCGGGCGGAGCCTCCCTGGGGAACCTGAGGACTTGGGGTCCGGGTTGCTATGCTTCCCTCTGGGCCACGCGTCCACCCCTCCCCCACTAGCTGAACCCGGTTTGGGGCGGTGTCACCCCCCACGGCTATCGCGCCGGAGCCGTGCACCCCTTCCTTCCCCTTAACCGGTGGGGTGCACTCCTCCCTGCACCTGGGCGGCAGGCAGAGGGCCAGTTGCGCGTCGCCAGCTCCCTAGCCTTCCTGGGAGCAGGACCGGTCCTGGCTCTGTGGGGAACCCCCGCCGCGCGCCCCGGGGAGCCTGGGCTTCTGAAGCTGTGGGTGCAGAGCGCTGCGCTCCCAGGCCCTGCCTAGACTAAAGGTTCGGCACAGGTACGCCTTGGTCCAGCTCCTGTCACTGCTTTACCTTTGTTCCCCCTTCCAGGTCGGGATGGTAGCTGACTGCGCAGGATAGCGGCGGCCATGTGGAGGTGACAGTCAGCTTGAGGACTCGGAGAGCCCAAAGGAGCTTGGCCCAGGTGGACATTGCTGGCTGGCAGCGCGGCCTCGGTGCTGGCGATGGAAGCGGAAGGCTTGGGTTGGCTTCTGGTCCCGCTGCACCAGCTGGTTTCCTGGGTGGCCGCTGGGGCCATGGTCTTCGGAGGGGTGGTACCGTACATACCCCAATACAGGGACATCCGGAGGACTCAGAACGCCGATGGTTTCTCGACCCACGTGTGCCTGGTGCTATTAGTGGCCAATATTTTACGGATACTTTTCTGGTAAGTTCAGATATTACCTGGGAGTGCTGCTGAAGAGATAGATGGCTTTGTTCTCAGGGTTTTGAAGTGGCAGCGAGTGGAGCTATCTACTCCGGAAAGATCTCTGAAGAGCAGGCTCTTATTCTTCAACCCTGGTGGAGTAGCCCGAGCCATTACTGAATTTACTAGGACACGGCATTTCCTCGAAGACTGACAGGGCTGGAGCAGAGAGCCAAATATAATCTCCAGATCTGCTCGTTCATTTACTGTGTCTTTACCTTTGTTAACATCCTGGAGCCTCTCCGTGGGCACAGTTTCTGGATCCCTGCCTTTTCTTTCTAGTGTGTGGAGTGGGGTGTCAGGGTAAGAAAGTAATAAATTGAGATAGTAGAAGGTTCCCCTGGCTTGCTTGTGTGGAGAGCCTTCTGCTATCTTTTTCCTGACTTTTGTTTGTTTGTTTGTTTGTTTCGACATAAAGTTTCTCTAGGTAGCCCTAGATGTCCAGAGAACAGCTTTGTAGACCAGGCTGGCCTCAAACTCACAGGGATCCCTTTCCTTTGCCTCCCGAGCACTGGCATCACCACTGCTAGCTTTTTCTGGACTTCTTATGTGGCTTGTGTCTTCTTAGGTGGGAAGTCAGACTTTTCCCTGTAAACTCAAGTGGAGCCTGTTTTTCTAACCCTTCCAGAGCCAACTTCCTATTTTTCATTTGCATTCTGTTGAGGAAGTTTGAAGTTTATTTTGACTATTGTTGAAACCATACATACTTGAGGGTTTTGTTCTTGTTTTGAGACTGGGTTACACTGTAGTTCTAGCTGTCCTGGAGCCCACTGTGTAGACCAAGTTGGCTTCAAACTCAAGAGATCCTCCTGCCTCTGCCTCCCGAGTGCTCAGGCGCCACCATGGCGCCTTTTAATTTCAAAGGAAATTAAAAAAAAAAAAGGCTTCCTCACTGCGTGCTAAGATAAAACATGTAATTTTGTCTTCTGGGCCAATCCCAAGTCCTCTGTGCACATAGAAAGGCTGTTTATACCGTTCTCCTGAAGATAGCTAGCTGCCTGCAGAAGCCAGGGAGAAGGGATCCAGAGAGCTAGTGTCAGAGTTCTTTGCTTTTGATGTTTTGTTTACTGTGTAAACATCTCATCTTTTACTAACTAGTGTTAAAATCAACTTGATTGACGGGTCAGCAAGATGGTTCAATGGGTAGAGGAGCTTTCTGTCAACTCTGAGTTCAGTCTCATGATAGAAGGAGAGAATCAACTCCTGTTGGTTTTCCTCTGACCTCCACACATGCACCACAACACATGTGCACATACACATGAAGAGACGTAGTGAATCTACATTAAATAAAACACACCAGCTTTGTACAGTTTAGTGAGCTGTGTCAAGCTCAGTAGGGAATTCTCTCTCTACTTTTGTGTTCTGTCCCAGAGCTGGACCCCCTTTGTCTCAGGAGTGGGTTCTTGCCTGCATCAGTTAGGAGGTTGGCTAGTTGAGCTGACTCTGAAGTAGAGTAAGCTGGCAGCATTGAACGATGCCACCTTGCTGTTTGCCTGGGATCAGGTGACTTCTGAGGAAAAGGTCATTGAGATCTCACTTAAAAAAAAAAAAAAAAGCTGGGGGCTTGAATTTCAAAGATTCCATTTTCTTGCTTTGTCCTGAGAGGAAGGTGGAGGTCCCAGCTGGGCTGTGACTATGGCTAGGCCTTAATTAAATCTAAGGTGGAATGGAAGCAGATCCTTCGTTAGAACTGTGCTCATACTATTGATTACTCTGGGTGCCCAGGATGGACCTTTGATTTCAGGCAGGCTGCCTAGTGTAGCCCAGCTTTGCTGTTTAACTTACGTACAGCCAGGGTATTCACTTTCAGGATTGAGGAATACATTTCCTTATCCAAGTACTAAAGTTAGGACTACTGACATGGTTTGAAGATAACAGAAGTGAGGCCATTTTCCTTGTGTGCACTAGTGGAGGGGAAAACCAAGACTGGTCTCCTTGCCCCTTGTGTTGGGGTCTCTGAGAAGACCTCAGATACTTTTCACTGTGGGGGCTGGGCTGCCTTCTGTGCATGCTAGACCTTGTCCACAAATGGTCTCTTTGGTACAGCCCATGTCCCAAAATGTCCTGTGCCACCCAGGGCTCCTGTGGGCACTGTACACAGGGACTCAGTTTCCCAGTGCATACTAGAAGCCTGTGAGGAAGGGAGGAGCTGAGGGTCATGGCCCTCCTTAGTGTTTCCATTTGGGAAGTATCTTTCCAGATCTTCACAGGATGAAAGTCAGAGGTCTGGACAGTGTCTGGGACACGGCTGCCCATCTGTAGAGACCCTGATGCTCCAAAATGATGTGATGGTCCTTCTGTGCTTCTCCACAGTGCCTTCCACAGCCCTGGTCTAGGCTTCTCTCTCAAGATTCCACAGCTCAGCATTCTCTTAGATTTCACATAGTCAAAGGCTGTAGTGTCGGTGCTTCATTGGTAACAGTGACTGGAGTGTACAACCCTTTCCCGTTTACACAACTCCTCCCCCAGTGTGGAGAGCAGGTCCTGGCTGTGGCAGGCTCCAGGTGAGATGGGAGCCTTCCAAACTATGAAAGGGGTGCAGATAGAACCCTCAGCAGTTTTCCAGTGCTAACTGGGACACAGATCTCAGAACTCATTAGAGGTTTGTGGTAGTTCATTTGCTCTTTCTCCTTCCTTCCTTCCTTCCTTCCTTCCTTCCTTCCTTCCTTCCTTCCTTCCTTTCTTTCTTTCTTTCTTTCTTTCTTTCTTTCTTTCTTTCTTTCTTTCTTTCTTTCTTTCTTTCTTAAGCTGGAAAGTCCTGCAGGAAGAGACTGATTTCACTGCAAACCTAGGGATTCAGAAGCCTGTGAATCTCTCATGTGAAACCCTTATTTCTTACAATCCTCACCATGTTACAGAACTCACCTTTAGCAGGCTGCTCTCAATAGAATGTGGGTTACAGGATTTTGCAACTTTGATGTTGGAAGCTGGGGCCGAGTGACCCTTTATCTAATGTTTGCAGGCTTTTATTTTTTTTAATCTAAGAAGGGCCAGAGTGGGACTGCAAAACTGGTGCCCAGGTTCTACTTGAGCAGCGTTCTCCACCCAGACCTGGAGATGCTCAGTCTCTCCCAGTGCTGGCAGCAGGTCTTGGCTGTGATCTTGAAACACTGTATCTGAGAGGTGGTAACATTATGGCAATAAGTTTTCTTTGATATGTAGGAAGTAGTTCTAGAGGTGTGTTCCTTCCTCAGTAGGAGCTTTTCTGTTACTTTGGGACTTGGAGAAGTTGTCCATAGAACTAGTTGTTGAACTTGGTCTACCTTGTGTACCCCACTCCTGCACATGTCTCTCATGATGAGTACTGGCTTTCATTCATATGAGAATCCTTGGACACACCACTCATAGCTGTGTGGTGGCAATTGCCACTTCTCAGAAGAATTCTGCTAACCTACAGTCTCAAGCAGGAGAGGAACCATATACTCAATAGCAGATTTCCCCAAGGATATCTAGTTTTTTTCCTCCTCCTCCCCCTCCCCCCTCCCCCCGTCCTTTCCTTTCCTTATTACCCCTCGGCTACATCCTTCTCCTTCTCCTCCTCTAGCATGACTATTTAACAAACCATGACCAACAACAACTAACCAACAACCTGTCTTAATTCTCAGGGCCGTAGTATTTATATACCTTCTGAAAAGTCCCCAGAATTCTAAATGTCACAGAATCACAAAAAACAATCTGCTGCTGGCAAAATCATGCACGAGGCAAATCATAGTCAGCTGCCGTGGACAGTCTGAAGCAGCCCCATGTCCCACACCTGGGATTAAAACAAAAACATATTCTTATATTATTTTTGTGTGTGTGTGTTTTTAAAGAAACCAAAATTCCAAAATTGTCACTACAGCAAGACTGTTGATATTAATTTTTTTTTAAAGAAATGGCACTTTTTTATAGCTTTAAAAATTGATTGTTATACATTGTTTCCTATTTATTTTGTCCCTTATGTCATTCAGAGTTGTGCTTTTTGAAAGTTTGTGTCCTGTTTTGGCTTCCTATTAAAAAAAAAAAAGCCAGCCCAATCCCCAGTTCTGTTCTTTGGCACTCTGTTAGCACCGCCCTTATTGTGACCATCCAGCGAGTTAGGATTGATTTTGATGTGGTGTATGGGCACTTAAACCTTGACTTTTTTTTTTTTTTTCTATAGTCTTCTTCCTAGCAACAGGTGTCAGTCAGTTCGTTTGGGAAGCTATGCCTTTAGCCTCTTAGCTTTATGACACTGAGGTGGCACTTTCCTGTGTTAAGCTCCCCACATAATCTCTGTGAGCAAATTGCCAGCTAGATATCCAGAGAGGAAGAATGATTTCTAGGAGCCAAGCAACTAAGGGCTTGGTTCTGTCTACCAGGAGCTCTGGGGTTATGATTTACACTTCTCACAGGAAAACACTGAGGTTCCAAGATGGTGGTGGCTCATGATTTGGGCTCAGTGTGGTAACTACAAGGATCCAGGGATATATCCTAGGAACAGCTTGTCTGCCTGTGCCAGCTCCTGTCTCCACTCCTAGGCCCACCCTTTCCTTTGTCTTCCCCCTTTCTAAGCTTCCTCACGCAGCTGCTTAGAATGTGGAGCTTATGAACTCACAGGGGACATCTGAGCCTTGAAACCTGCACAGAGGACTTATCCTACACTTGGAATTTCCAGTCTTGGCTTGCCACCCCACAGGAAGCTGAGCCTTGCCCTGATTGCACAGGGGAGCCTCGCTTGCAGCATGACTTCCCTTGTGTAACACCTTATTGCCAGCTCTGCTTGTCTGGGCAGTGGCATACCCCATGGGCATCTGTTTAGAAAATGTCCAGAGCTCTGTGAAGACCCTCAAGCTGGTCAGGATTCTGTCTGATCGTGAATTGTTTGTAGACAGGAACTAAAGATGGCTTTCAGGTTAGTTAAAGGGATCGGGAGCTCTGCATTCCTCTCAGAATGTGAAGGCCTTACAGAAATACTCTGAGACACAGGCGAGGTTGTTTCCCTGTCTCCAACTGATCTTTCACTAATTGCTGTCACACTAGAGTTTTGTGAAATGCTTTTCTCTTAAAACTTTATTGACGGACCTGGCTTGGAACTTGCTGTGTAGAACAAGCTAGCCATGACCTTATGATCCTCCCCCCTTCAGTGTCCCAAGTGTGGGTGTGTAGGAGTGCACCGTCACCTGGCATGTGAAATACTGCTTGGTTTTCATTTGTGGATTGATTTTTAGCAAGTTCCTGCTGTAGTAGTAACTACATGGATGCTAGACTGTGTCCTGAGCAGACTTGGTGCTCACTGTGAATCAGTACTACCGTTCCCCCTGTGTCCCTCCTGCAAGTTTTACTGGCTGTCTGTCTCAGCCCTGGAGGTAACTGCTGTCCCAGGACACCAGTGTAGTCAGGGGCCACAGACATGGGAGAGAAGGCTGGGACTGTTGCTAACACTCACAGCTTTCAGGAGGTAGAGCTGTTAAACTGCTGTGCAGAATCTTTTGAATTTCATGTGCTAACCACCAATTAAAGTCTTGGAAATAACTTTCAGGCCAAACAAACTCTGTGGCCAATTCCAGCCTGCATTTGTGCATTACCGTGCTGGGGTTAAGGCTGTGCTGGGACCTGCCTTTGGAGATGAGCTATGTCAGCTTGTCTGTGTGCTACAGTCTGGTCGTATTCTCATCTGCCAAGGGTGTTATCCACAGACCTTGTTGGTTGCTGAATTGCAGTTCTGCCCTCCAAAGCTTCTGGTCTCAGTTGATGAAATATTCAATACTAGTGGGAGCCACTAGAGTGGCTGGAGGAGGGGTAGCCAGGGAGGGCAAGCTGCCCTGGGCTAGGAGGCCTGGGGTGGAGGAAGGATCTTTGGTGGGGCTAGCTCTGGCTGCCCTTGTTAGTGGAGGGTGTGTATAAAAATTTAGCACCAGGCTGCATGTCTTCCACAGATACTTCCTCACCAGGCAGAAAGCAGAGCTACTGTGGTCTGGAAATAGTCTCTTGCCTGGCTAAGATTAGACGTTGACAGGAGGGTAGGTATGTAGGGTTCTTTCATAGCAATATGTGGCCCTGAGTGAGGGGGCTATGACTAGGTCACTGAGTCCATAGAGGGGAGACACGGGCTTTGGAAAAGCCTCAGGTGAGCTTAGAGTCCTTGCTGAGTCTGACCTGGGTCCTTCCCCATTCTAGCCCAGTCTCACACAAACCCTGGAAGACTAAGGCAAACAAGTACCAGGACCATCCCCTGGACTCCTTTGCACTTTCCAGGCCCTGGCTGAGGAGAGGCTGTGGAAGTCCTGGCAGAGACTGGTCTCTGGCAGAGGCTGGTGTCTGTGTCCTTCCTGATGCGAGCTCTCTTTCCCTCCCGTAGGTTTGGGAGGCACTTCGAGTCCCCGCTGCTCTGGCAGAGCATTGTTATGATCCTTACGATGCTGCTGATGCTGAAACTCTGCACCGAGGTCCGCGTGGCCAACGAGCTGAACATCAAGCGCCGCTCCTTTGCAGGTGGGTGTAACAGCTTCTAGAAAGTCTCGCTTAGCCACCGGGCAAAGCGTAGCTCTCAGGAAGCCGAAGCCACTTCTGTGTTAACCTAGGCAGCTCTCATGTCACTGGCTGGTGGCGACGATCTGCAATGGATAGTAGTATTTTCCCATATTGTAACAGAATAAACATTTCACAGCTTCAAACAGTTAAAGGACTTCTTTCCTGGAATGTGGGTGAGGTTTTAACTCGTCTTCTGGACTCTTTTGTGCTCACATCCTGTGATTGTGTGTTGTCACAAAACCCAGAGAAGGGAAGAGTCATTGCTGTGTGCCCTGCCAGGTGACTCAAGCCCTAGTGGTATGCCCTTTAGTCATGCTTCACACACGCACTCACCCAACTAAGCTGTAACACGCTTGGGTTTGTGTGTTCTGTGGTCTGAGGATCCCTGGGGTAACATCCATCACATCCTTGACCCCTGGACAGCTCAGAAAACACTAACCACTTGCTGTCTTGGCCTCTCCTTCCACAGAAGCTTTTCGATACAGTACTCTGTGGTCAGTGTAGGCTTCTGGGCTTACAGGAGAGTTAAATTCCACCTCCTCCTCATTCTAATTTTCTCCTCCTCCTCCTCCTCCTCTCTCTTTTTCCTTTCTTCAACACTAATTCTTTCTCTATAACTCATGCTGGCCTTTAAACTCAGAATCCTCCTGCATCTGTAAGTAGGCACACACCTTCATTCCCAGCAAAAGCCTTACTTTTATCTTTCCATTAATAAGCTAGCAGAGCTCTCTTTGGATTTGTCTGAATATGTGTGTGTGTGTGTGTGTGTGTGTGTGTGTGTGTGTGTGTAATCTTTTTTATAGAAGTATTTAGTACTTAGTTTGGGGGCTGCTCGGGAGGTGGTTTTACTATATCTTTGATCATTACTTTTTCTCCATTAACCAGATCCTTCTGTTTCCACCTGGTTTTAGTTAAACAGGCGATGCCATCCTGACTGTCATAGAGGGTGGCCACACCTAGTTCTGGGGAGAAGTCTATAAGAATGATAGCTCATGTATATTTTCTGGTGCTTTCTCATCCATTCTTCCCATTGGAATCACCATCCCTAACCTCCCCTGAATGTCTGTTCCCCGTCCTCCCAGTGTAAACTCAACACCAGCACTGGTGCAAACAATACTGAGAATCCTACCAAGACAGGATATCATAGATGATCTGAGGCTTTATGGCTCTATTTGGTGCTATGGGCTTGCCTTCTAGAAGCATGGCTTGTCCTTTCCCTATGCTCCAAGCTTCCACACAGCAAGCTCTGAACCTCAGCCTGCACTGGATGTCATCTTGACTGCAGCATGGTGGGTCCCTCATCACACTCTCACACATTGGAATACCAAAAGGCTAAGGAGACAGTTGTACACAGGATGCCAGAGACTCCCTGTAGGTTTGTGCTGCTTCTGTGCTGTAAATATGAGGACAGGCTTATGACTTCCATTGCCATGGGTGTTGGCTCTGATGGTGGCCCATGTCAGCTGTCAGGTACAGAGGGTTTGTACATGGTGCAGCAGCCTTAGAGCACGGTGTTCATTTATTGAGAACCGCATTGTCATCATCTCAGGTCATCACCTCAGGTGACGGCGAGGTGTCAGGTCATCACAGCATGGTATAGACCAGAGACTGTGTGGGTCATGGAGTCCCAACTGTTCTCTTGTGCAGTGTTGTTCTGTGTAAATTTTCCAAGGCACTACTTATATGTTGGTAACTAGGATTGAGCTAAAATAGTGAATCAAACAGTTTTCAGGGTTAGGACTGGGATATGAATTTTTATCAGGGGCTCCTTAAGGGCATAGTAATGACCCCAGTGGTGTCCTCTACCTTAGGAAGGGCCTCTGCAGATGTGATTGAGATTGGTGATCTTGGGGAAGATCATTATTCATGGTCCCTTTGTGGCTAATTTAATTCCAAGGGATAGAACAGGACTCATCCCTGGTCCCAAGGGTCACTAGGCCTTAGACCTCTCCACCTATCATGGGACAGTGGTGTTTGTTGGAGACTTATTTACACTGTTGTTGTTGTTATTTTTAGATAGATTTTCGGATGTCTTAGAACTCAACCATGTAGACCAGGCTAGCCTAGAACTCATAGAGATCCTCCTGCCTCTGCCTCCCAAATGCTGGAACTAAAGGCATGTGCTACTACACACTCCTGAGAATTCTTGATATTTACATCTTTTAGTTTGAGTCCAGTTCATATTTACACGGCTTCGTGTCTGCTTTAAGACTCTGGTCTCAGTGTATTCCTGAGAATAGCTTTAATGAAATACGTGGGTTCATTTCCTCCCATCTGTCAGAAGGCTGACGGGGGTGGTGTGTATGGAGAAAAACAGAAGTGCACTCTGGTGCCAGCTCACAGCCACCCAGTCCTGCAGCTGCCAAGGTCCTGGGGCCCAGGAGATACCTTGTTTTCTTGCCAGTAGCTATATTTTACATAGAAGGTTGGTGACTTCTAACAGACCTTTGGGCACCATCCCAAGAATAAATATGGTCTGGCAGCACCGTGAGTCTCATGAGGCACAATTCAGATAGTTTATGATTGTAGAGATAATTTATGAACAGCTAGTAATAAGGCACTTTCTGTCAAGCTTGACAACGGGAGTTGGATCCCTGGGGCCCATATGACAGGAGGAGAGGACTGATTCCTATATAGGGTCCTCTGAATTCTGCATGTATGCCATACTGTGCATATGCATACATGTACACAAATAAATGTTAAAAAGTTGGGGCTCGAGAGATGGCTCGGCTGTTAAGAGCACTGATTGCTCTTCCAGAGGTTCTGAGTTCAATTCCCAGCAACCACGCAGTGGCTCACAACCATCTGTAATGGGATCCGATGCCCTCTTCTGATGTCTAAAGACAATGACAGTGTACTCATATACATAAAATAAATAAATCTTTAAAAAAAGTTTAAAAAAGTTGAAAAACTTTGCATATGTATTGTGTATGTGTACAGATGTGTTATAGGTGTATACCATGCAGAGGTCAGTGGAGGTCTTTGGGTATTGTCTTAGTTAAGGTTACTATTGTTGTGATGAAACACCATGACCAAAAAGGAAGTTGGGAAGGAAAGGGTTTATTCTACATCACAGTTACTATCAAAGGAAGTCAGGACAGGAACTCAAGCAGGGCAGGAACCTGGAGGCAGGAGCTGATGCAGAGGCCATGGAAGGGTGTTGCTCGCTGGCTTGCTTCCCCTGCCTTGCTCAACCTGCTTTCTAACAGAACCCAAGACTACCAGCCCAGGGATGGCACCACCCACAATGGGCTGGATCCTCCCCCAGTCCATCACTAATTAAGAAATTTCCCTAAAGCCAGATCTTATGGAGGCATTTTCTCAGTTGAGGCTCCTTCCTTTCAGATGACTCTAACTTGTGTCAAGTTGACATAAAAGAAGCTAGGGCAGGTGTCCTCTGTTGCACTTGGCTTTAATATGTTGAGGCAGGTGTCCCAGTGAACCTGGAGCTCACCATTTGCAGCTTGGTTGTCACAGCCATGGGATCTTTCTGTGTGTGCTGGAGAACAGAACTCAGGCACAACAAATGCTTGTACCCACTGGGCCGTCTCCCTGGTCTTACGAAGATATTTTTGATTTGAGACAGTATCTCTCTATATAGTTTTGGCTGCTTTGGAACTCATTGTGTAGCCTAGGGTGGCCTTGAACTTACAGAGAGCCTTCTGCCTCTCGCTCCTAAAAAAGGCATATGCTACTATTATCTGGGTGAGGACATCTTAAGATAGTTCTAACTTAATGTTCCCATTAAAAATGAAAACTTAAATTTTTTCCAGTTTTCTTAATATTATACTTTCAATTTTAGTGGTAACTAATTCAATTTGCCAGTTAAGATTAAAAGAAAAGCAAAACAAACAAATAAAAGAAGCTTGACAGGGCTTTAGAGATGGCTCAGCGGTTAAGAGCACTGATTGTTCTTCCAGAGGTCCTGAGTTCAATTCCCAGCAACCACATAGTGGTTCACAACAATCTGTAATGGGATCCAATGCCCCCTTCTGTTGTGTCTGAAGATAGCAACAATTTACTCATATAAATAAAATAAAATAAATAAATCTTAAAAAAAAAAAAGAAAGAAGCTGGACATGGTGGCTCATGCCTGTAACATGCCTTCAATCCCACCACTTGGGAGGCTAAGTCAGGTAAATCTCTGAGTTCAAGGCCAGCTTGGTCTAAGTAGCAAATTGTAGGCCAGCCAAAGCTTTGTAAACACCTTTATCAAAACATTAAAAAGGAAAGGAAAGGAAGGGAGGGAGGGAGGGAGGAGGGAGGAGAGGAGAGGAGAGGAGAGGAGAGGAGAGGAGAGGAGAGGAGAGGAGAGGAGAGGAGAGGAGAGGAGAGGAAAAAGGAAAGGAAAAAGGAAAGGAGAAAGGAAAGGAGAAAGGAAAGGAAAGGAAAGGAGAGAAAAGGGAGCCATCTCAAACATCAAATAATAGATCTGTTGTCTTGCTATAAATAACATGCCGCGTGTAGACTCACAGTAGACTTCGAGGAAGCCAGAGGGTAAATAAAGTAGAACTCACCCCTGTGACTATTTTGAACATTTTGGTACACTTTCCAAGTTTTTTCTTTTACTGTCAGTGGCTTATCACAAAATCTGTGTAATTTCAAAAGTAGAATCAAACTTAAAAATTCCACACATTCCATGTGACATTTTTTTCTAGCCTCTCTCTGCTCATTAGAACGAGGGCTCTAAGTACTGAATCTGGGGGAGGCAGGGAGCAAGGGTGGTCCCGTGGGACAGTGTGAAGTCTCTGCCAGGCATGTGCTCTGTGCTTCTGGGGTCCGTGGGTAGTGGGTGTGTCCTGTGGGTGCTGAGTGTGTTCTGGTTTTCAGTTTTAGCCTCTAGTATGTAAAATCACTAACATTTATAAAATTGGGAGAAAGTCTAAAGCTGCTTTTATGATTGAACCCACACCATGAACCTACCCTGACCCCTCATTTGAGTCTACACTGTGACCCCCCAA